TTTCACTTAAATTAAATCTTCACAATATGATCAATATGAATTAAAATATTTAAATATTTAAAAAATTAAAAAATTTCATATTTTCATATTTTAAATAAAAGTTTCATAATTAATTTACAAAATTTCTTGTTTTTTGATTTATTTTTAAAGAATTATATAATATAATATCGATTATACCAAAATAATTGATAGACAAATCCATTCGGATAAACAATTTTCAAATATAAATATTTATTAAAATAATATATATATTACAAAAAATTAATCAATTTTTAGGTACTCAAGAAATGTAAACATTGCTATATGTGTTAATTCAAATATATACATATATGATTCATTTTATATTAGATAATTGATAGAATAGATATAGAAGATAATCGTTTATTTGAATAATTGAAATTCGGATAATCGACATTGTATTATATATAAATTATTATATAAACATATACTTATATATGCATATATATTTTTTTTTTCATTATTAAAAACATGATGAAAAAACACTTGATATTAATCTATTTGATTGAAGTCTAAAAAAGTAATTTGAAAATATAACTTTAGTGTTGGATTTTATAGAAAGAAACAATTTGTATATTCATCACATAAATAAATCATTCAAATGGCGTAAATAAAACAACTGATTTAATTAAAGAAACATGGAACATTTTAATTAAAGGCCTTAAAAGAGAGAACGAGCGAGCGAGCGAGCGAGAGAGAGAGAGAGAAAATCGTATGAAATATAGGTACCGATTCGTCCGTACTTTTATAAGGATTTAGGCGATAAACGCACACGAGCGAGCACTCGTGCAACGAGACAACATACAGAGCGCAGTATTGATAAATTGTAATTTATTTTTCTCTCCTCGTCAATGATAACATGCTACTATCATACTTTCTAGCTTTTTCCAATCAATCAATTCAATCAATCATTCTTATCGATCAAGTATTCTCATAATAGTTACATCTCTTCATTAGCAATGAGATAAACCCTAGTTCGTACCATTTGTATTTGTATGTACCTGTACTCTACGTGCATTTATATAAATACATATGCGAAAAATGACCGTAATTAGCCTTTTTATCAGTTCCATTTCTTTTTCCGTTTCCGATTCAATTACATTTTTATCGTGTATACCGTCCTTTTGATCTTTGCACTTTTTTAGATATAATTAAATATCTTGTTAACATACAACCAATTGTAGAAAATGCTCCTACTATAACTCCTACAAAGAGGCCAAGAAAGAATTGAAGATCCTCGTTCATTGTCTTTACTGAATTGGCTGGCATTAAAAAATACAAATTCCAATCCTTAGTTCTGGCCATATAACGCAACCAATAGATTAACCTATCTACAGCAGGATTTATTCTATCACGAATAGCTAAAGAAACTTTTCTAGCATTCTCACGGTAATCCATTGTTTCATGAATATGATTCACGGCATTGGCTATTTCTTCGCCGGACAAAGTATGAATCTCTTCAACGGAACGTGCAAAACCTAATTGGATCGCTCGTGCAGTATTTTTAACTTCATAGGAGTTTCTAGGAAAACATATTACTGGACTTCCATGAAATGCAGTTTCCAAAAGTTCTGTATCTGCACAATGACTTAATACTACTCTTGTACGTCCATAACCTGAAATAATGTCATAGAAAGTATTAAAAAAAAATTTTTCATTTAAAAAAATTCAAAAAGAAATTTTAAATTGAAGTTTGAAGAAAAGAACTTTGAAATTAAAAGAAAAATAGAGTAATTATTTGAAAGTTTAATTAAGAACTGATTAAAATTCAATATGAAGATTATAAAGTTTTATTATACTCTTGTTCTACCTATCAAATCTTGTCGATCAATTTTCGGATGAACAAAAAGATTTTCCGGCAAATTCTCATTTAAGTTTTGCCATTTCATATTCTTCCAAACCACTGCTTGGCCTTCTTTACCCTGTGGTAATTTCCATGCAAGCTCTTTTATTAACGTTTCATAATTTTCATCCAAAAGTACTACAACAGTACCCAATCGAAATTCAATTAATGCTTTATGTAAATCATTTTGCAATGGATATGGGCCTCTACAATGATGACAACCAACCTAGAGTAATAAATAACATTTTTTTTTCATATTTAATCGTAAATTAAAAATAAAAATGTTATATGATATTATTAAGAAATCATATATTATAGAAAAAATAAAAAGAAAAAAGAAATTAAGTTACTGAATTGAAATTTGAATTTGAAATTTTATTTTATTCTTTCTATCATATTTTAAACAACTATATTATCATTTAAATATTTTTTAAGTTCAATGATATAATATAATCATTAAGATTGTTTTAAGATTGTTTAAAAAATTCTTATATTAAAAAAATTTTTTAATTTTTGAATTTTCAAACTCTTTTTTTTGAACTTTGAAGTTTCTAAAATTAAATACAAAATGTAAATGCAATTTTATTAATTAAATATGAAACATATAATCAAATAAATTGAACATTGAAACATATTTTACTAGAAAAAAAAGAATAAAATTAAAATAAAAAAGAAAATTAGAATAAACAATAAAATATAAAAAGTATTTTTTATACTTACTTCCACTATCAATTGGGTAAGCGGTGCAAAATCCGAACGTAAGATAACATCGGCTCCCCAAAGAATAAGATGAACATCATCATATAAATTATCTAAATTGAAATCGGTGTGTGGCAAGTATTTTCCCACTATCCGGAGAGCATATATTATGTATTCGTCTCGAACTGTGTAAAATATTGATCTTCTTGACATATTTGTCCATAACCTAGTCCAAAATCCTGTATTTTGAACTGATAAAGCAGCACCAGTCCATTCAAATACGTATAACTCTTCCTCTCGATTGCGCGTCCAAATCACCGGAATAGATTCAAGAGTTTTTGCCCATGGTAATAAGCACCCATCGTGTCTGAAAAATGTAAGATAAAAATGTAGATTTTTTTTTAAATTTTTAATTAAATTCTTAATCTTAAAATAACAAATCTTAATCTTAAAATTAAAATAAAAAATAAATGACACAATAATATTTGAAAATTCTTGAATTAAAAATCTTATTGTTGAATTAATTTATCTGAAACATTTCATTTTAAAATAACTATTGTTTTTAATATAATTATTGTTATTAATACAAAATTATAAATATAATGAAATTATAAAAATTCAATATAATTATGAATTTTATAATTTTTAATTTTATAATTAGTAAGTTAATGTTTAACTTTTCGGAAATTCTTCAAAAGATCATAAATAATAAAATATTAAACAACAAAAAATTTTACATTTTATATATGCATAAAATATACCTGAGTGCAGGAAACACAATAAAAGTGGGTTGAATTTCCTGTATCTTTTTCGCTATTTGGTCATCTTTTAATAAAGCCTCACAAATTTGAATCGTTTTCTTCTCAGAATACGTTGATTCTTTAATTTCGACTTTCACTGTTAGTACCTCAACATCAATTAAAGTTTCATAAACTTCATTTTCGTTGGATGCCGGTATAATTAATGTAGTATCAATCCCTTGATCTGACAAAGTATTGGCTAATAAAGATAAATCATAGATATCTTCGAAAGCGACAACCACTGCCGATTGTGGGGGTGTAGTTAATGTAGAACTCTGAACAATGTTCATGAGATAAAAATACACGCATAATATAATAATTATTGACATTTTGATCAAACAATGATATGAATCGATAAATAAAATCTACAAACGTGTTTTATATTTTAATATTTAAGAACAATATTTTCGGTATGTTAAGAAAAAAACTTGGAAGATAGCCGTATTTCGTATATGAGATAGTTCATTTTAATTTCAAACAACTTCAGTTAGCTATCACCATATTAACCATGATTTCGAAACTGGGTCATTCATCTGCTAAAAAAAATAAGAAAAAACTATTCTGAAATCCCATGTTGATAAAGCGGCTGATTACTTCCTATCTTAAAATACCGATACGAATATTCAAAAGAATTTTAATTAATCGATTATCGAAATAATATAAAAAAATCGTTAATTTTTTGAATTTTTAGAACACTAATTCGAAATTTTATTCTTTAAAAATATCTTTTAATCTGATAACATAATTCTATATATATAATTGATGTACAGCCAATTTATATTTCGTTTTTCAGAACTGTTTCGTTTATTTTTTATAATACACGAATCTTTATAATCCTATTATAATTTTAAATATGTATATTCACACAGTACAATTTTACGAATATATTTATAAATTATATATGTAAACAACACTATTTCTAATATAAAATATTCAAGCTTCACGCGCAAAATATTGAATGCTTCAGTTTAAATAAAAATGAATTATACCACTAACTGTTTCTTTAATACACAGAACCTCCATGAAACATAAACTATTGCGTAGGCCGTAACATATAAACTTTTGTAAGCAAACGTACTTTGATTAGAGATCTAGAACAAATCTTGGACATACGAACCAATTAAATAGTAAAAATTTGCTCACATTCTGTATGTGAATAAATATGCACTTTATTTATGACACATCATTTTATCATGTAATATTGATATTACGATTTAAATAACTTTTTTAAATATAAAGTATAATGTATAGTGATAATAATATATTGATAAAAAAATATATACGTATATCAAATAGAGGTTAGGTTTAAAATAAAGTATATTTTTAATGACGAAATATATTTTGTCGCGCACTTTTACTTATTATTTATACATTATGTGATATTGATGATTTTCTTTTACAACTGAAAGTAGTTATTATAATCTTTTACTTGTTTTATATACATAATATATTTTGTTATAATTTTGATAAATAACTAATATAATTGTAAAATTTAATTATTAAGAATAATTTAATTTTAAACTTTTTAACAATTTATTAATAATATTCGTTTAAACTTCAAAAAATTCTTTATATCATCACTCTAATACTATTTGTTAACATGAAGTAAGCATGATAGAGAACACTGCATTCAATTAATTTGAATTTGACTTGATCTAGCTCTTTATTGGTTGTTGGTTGGCAAAGCATGTCTCACGGTTAAGATTTTGGAGTTATTTAATTTCAATTTTAAAGATAGAGTAGTTTGTAATTATAAAGTACAAAATTGTAATATACATAAATATCTAAAAATAGTTTATTATTTTTAGTTTAAATATCGAATGTTTATTATTCGAATACTTGTATTATAGTCAATGACATTTAAAACGAATAAGGTTAGTTGTAAAATTTATGAGGCTATGATAAATATAATTTCTGTATAAATTTTTTACAAACTATAATATATAGTATAATAGTATAATATTATAATAGTAAATGCATTAAAATTTGTAAATTTATATAGGTTTAATAATAATAAAGAAGAAATGAGTTTCACATACAATGCTTCAAAATCTCAGGCCAATACTACACCTACAAGTAGTGCTCCAACCACAAGTATATCTTGATATTTGTTATAATTATTACGATATTTAAAATATATTAAAAAAATAAAACTATTTTATAATATCATATATATCTTAGCTTTTACATTTGGGGCTGCCGGTGCTGGAGATGCAGCAAAACCAACAGGCTTCTCACTTACATCTATTCCAGCACAAACTAAACCTGGTACTGGATTTGGAAGTGGCTTAGGTACTGCTCCTGCTACTGGCTTTAGTTTCGGAACACCAAATGCTACTATTGCAAGTACTACAGTTGCACAGACACCAGGTTTAACATTTAGTACTGGCACAACAACAAGTACTGGTATAACTCCTGCTGCAACTACTACTACAACACCTACAGGATTCTCTGTACCAGCACCAGCTGGAAGTACCTTAAGTTTCAGTTTAGGAGGTACTACAACTGCCACAACAACAACAGCAATAACAACAGCTTTTGCATCCAAGCCACTTACTGGTGGATTTACTTTGGGAGGTGGTGAAGCTACTGCATCTACTGCTGCAACTGGTTTAACATTTGGTACTCCGAACATAATAACAACAGGAACTGGATTTAATCTTTCTGCAACACCTGTTGCAACTACTACAACAAGTACAACCACAACAGCGACAGGTATAAATTATTAAATTTTATAATATATATTGACACAATTTAATCTTATTTTATAAAAATAATCTTTTCTTTTTATTCACTATTTTTATAGGTTTTTCTTTAAGTGTCAGTGGGACAACTTCTGCAGCCACAGGATTTACTTTTGGCACAGGTACAACTGTAACTAGTACAACAGGATTTTCTTTAAATCAAACAGCTGCTACCACAAGTCTTACAAGTACTCAAGCATCATTGGGAACGACAACTACAACGTATGCACTGTTTTATATAATTTATTACACATATACATAATATTTTTCTAGTTATTAAATGAAAATGAATTTTAGTGTTAGTTCATCCGCAGTTCAACCTGCTTCTATAACTTCATTTGAAGAATCCATCAACAAATGGACTTTGGAATTAGAAGAGCAAGAAAAAGTATTTGTAAACCAAGCTGCTCAAGTTAATGATTGGGATAAATTACTTATAAATAATGGGGAAAAAATAGTAGCACTCAATGAAGAAGTAGAAAGAGTTAAAATTGAGCAACAGCAATTAGAACATGAATTGGATTATGTTGTAAGTAACTTTTCTTATTTATTACAAAATATAAAATTGTAATAAAATAGAAATATAAAGTCTTGTTCACAATTATGTTATAGGTTGGACAACAAAAAGAATTACAAGATTGTTTAGTAGAATTAGAAAAAGGATTATCAACTCTTTCAGTCTCTGATCCAGAAAGAGAATATACATATCGTTTAGCAGAAGATCTTGATACGCAATTAAAACGAATGTCGGAAGATTTAAAAGAATAATTGAACACTTGAATCAAGCTAATCGCACTCAAGATTCTAGCGACCCAATCGTTCAAATTGGCAAAATATTGAATGCACATATGAATAGTTTGCAATGGTTAGATCAACAAACAACTTTACTTAGTCAAAAAATACAGCAGATTGAACAGATGCATAAAAATTTTAGACAAGAAAATGAACGAAGCTTCAGTTTAGCATACAATTAATATTAGCCATCGAATTTTTATAATTGTATAATGAAAAATCTTGCAAAAAGTACATTTTATACCAATTGTTTTTGTGTTAAAAGATAACAGCATTGTGTAAAAAATAAAAAATTTATATTATATTAAAATATTGTTAAAATTAATACAATTTAAATAGTTATCGAGGAAAGAAAATAATATATTTTAAGATAATCTGCTAAATGTAAAAACAAATTAACCATTCTGTTTTGAAGTATATTACATTTTACACCATCAGGATGTACAATATCCCAAGCTAAAAACATAAGAAATTTTTTAATATCTATAGTAGCTGATACTTCATCTTGATTTTGTTGACTGCAACTCCAAACTTGCAATTCTTGAAAATGTGTAGATACTGTGGCACTATCTGTTTCAATTTTTAATACAAATGTACCAGTTTTATCAGCGCTTAATGTTAAACATGGACTCATGTTCTTCATTCTCTCTACAATATTTCTTACATGTTTAAGTTGAGGCATATCAACTGAAATCTATAAAAATCAAATTGAAAGAAAGCACTATTAATTTAAAATAATTAAAAGAACAATTGATAACAATTAAAAAACAATAAAATAAAAAAATTATTTATACATCAAATTCAGGAATATTTGGTGTTTGATGTTCTGTCCATTCACGACGTGGTATCACTCTGACAGGTACATCATGTAAACATTGTCTTGATTCTATGCTCAAAGAAGGCAATTCAATTTCTAATGTAAGGCATGGTTGTCGTTTATTAGTTAGTTTGATTTTAACGCTTTTCGCGGTCATTCGTAGAGATCCTAAAGATCGAGCAAGCATAGAGGGATCGAATTCTAAATAAATTTCGTTCTGTTCTTCGGAGACACCATTCATGATATATTCAATAAAAAAATGAGTTTGAATTAATTCGGCCAAACCATCGATGCTCGATCATCGCTCACACTGAAGCATAACTCGTTCGTTGTTAATCGTAAGGTACATTGTTTTGTTATTCGAGAAATAGTGTTAACAATATCTGAAATAAAGCTTTATTTAATATTATTACACTTCTATATAATTGGTAAGATATTTTAATATTTTATTTCATTTAATTTTTCCTAATAAAAAATAATGGCATGAACACAAAAATAATCAAATAATATTATTTATTGATATTACGTATTATTATCTTTTTAATTATATTTTTATTACATAGTTAATTTATGATCATGACAGAGAAGGTTAGAAATGATTTTTAAAATTTAAACTCACTAGTAAAATCTCTCATTGCAACTGCATCCACCATTCTACATCTAAATTTCATTTTTAATATTAATATAAACTTTTTATAATATAAAACAAGTAACAAAAATCTTTCTACATAAACAAATTTTATATAGCACAGACATTACATAGCAAACTTTATAACAATCTTTGATACAATATTTTTTATAATATTTGAACATATTATCAAATTTTTGCTTTTATAATTATCTATATAATAATTTATTTATTATATTACTTTTTGATTATAAACATATATATCTTATGTTTATATAATCGTTTCGATAAAAATTTATATAAAAATAAAACATATTTATTATTGAGAATTTGTACTCATTGTATTTGTTTTTATATTTAAAAAATATAAAAAAATATTTTAAAAAAATATTAAAAATTTAATTCTTAAAAGATTAAATAAAATTAAATATAATTATGTTAAAATTAATCATGTTCTACTTAATCGATGCATTCGTATCTTATTTTAGTAAATTTCGTAACATAGTTTATGATTTTTACAATAGATGTCACTAATATGCACATTTTCAGTAGTTTTCGCGCGAGAAATTACCCCGCATGGTGTCAATGTCGAATGACCCATAATCTAGCAACGTGAAATCTAACTCCGTCTGTCAAGTTTTGTGTGTAAACAAAAGTAATACATCTATCATGTACATTCGATAGGTCGTGTCCTATCGTGTCACATATAGGTCACTAAAAGTGTTCGTATTTTGATACAGTCTTCCATATATCTTCTCTCTTAGAGGTTGCGAATCTTTGTTATTCGGTTGAGGGTGAGTTCGGCCATGTTGTCAAGTTCGACGACCGACGGAAATCTATCATAGTAAATTGTGTCTTGTTAAAACTTATTTTTGGATCGAGTAGCCATCAGCGAATTATGCAACATTAATCGATATGCGGTTTGCCAGAAAGAGGTGAGTCTGTTTTAATCGATATGCGGTTTACTAGAAAGAGGTGAGTCTGTTTATCTCTTTCTCATAAAATATGAGAAATACTTTTTTCTTCATTTTATTTTTGTGTCATTTCTTCATTTTATTTAATTTTTATCATTATTGTTTTATAATAAATATAGATTATATAAATTTAGATTAATCGTATTTATTATAATTAATTTTATCATTAATAATTAATTAAAGATATTTCATTCGAAATATTGTTGGTTTTTGTTTCAAAATATTATTAAAATAAAATATAAATATGATTATAAATATCGGAATCTGGAAAAAGTTATTGGCTATAAATTTTTGCAAAATACTTATATTTAAATAATACATATCTATATAATTTTAATATTTTATTTCTAAAGATCCTTGAATTAAATTTTCATAATAATATAAGATACTTTATGTTTCATAACAAATTAGATATGAAACAAATATAAAATTCAGTTAATTTATCATTGAGTTCTATGGAAAGATTTTGAATATTCCTCGAATAAATATTTTATAATATTCGATTCGTGTACTTCGTTTCATAGGGAGACTTCATTATTTTCAGGAAACGTGCTCGTAGTAACTAAGTATTTAAATGATCCGCGTGTATATTTTTTCTATCATCAAACATCTAGTCGAAGCAGGTGGTGAAACACGTGGCATGTGTAGAGAATATGCACCGGCCTTATATTTTTCTCTCCTTATTTTTTTTCATTTTTAGTCACATTTACATCTTTTTTTTTTCATTTTTCTTTATTCATCTCTATCCATTTCCATTTCTCACTAATGTTATATATATATTCCGTTTTTATTTTGCGCGATACGAAGATAAGAAAAGCAATACTCAAGGTTTTCACCCTAGGTTATAAGATACGTCAAAATACAAAGAGTAGGCACATTCTTTCGCGACTTTGCGATAAATACTTATCATAATAAACAGAAAGTACAATAATTATCAAAATTTAAATATCTTAGAAAAAATATATAAGTAAAAATATATTAAATATATATAAAAATATATTTGTTTTTTGATTTTTTTGAAACTTGTTAATCGATCATAGAAAAATTATTGAATTTGCGAACAATAATGTCGAGATTAGCAGCTATCTTGTGTTGTTAAAGTTTTTGCATCAATATCGTCTTTCTCATTCATGGATCCGGTAACCTAAAAAGGTATAAGGTAACGGCAAAACTCTTTTTGAAAGGGTCAGCTTTCTCTTTTCGAAAGAAAATATTCGGGAGAAACAATCGACCGGATACTCATATCGGCGTCACGTGTTGTACAAGAAAAGCGTAACAAAATATCTATTGCGTAAAATACTTATTTAAGTATTTTTTGAAATTAATAGAAATATATACAGCAGACATATTGATTTTTTTATTCGGAAAAATACAACATATATCTTTCAAACTATATTTATAAAAATTAGTAATAATTATAATGTCATATATGTATATGACATTATATATATTATATATAATATTATTAATAATTTAATTTGATTTTATGTTTAATATTAATTATGCATAGATATCATCAGTCTTATGTATAAATAAAAATTTTAATGTAAAAATAATAAGTTGCTAGATAAAGTTCTTCAGATTAGAATTCATGTTGTATATCTATCTCGTCTACTTATCAAGAAAGTATTTAGAGAATAAAACCGTATCATCTATTTAATGTTTAACAGGCGCCTCGTATCTGACCTGGAAAGTCCTGATTAACTACACGTTTCGCGCAAACTGGATCCTCCCTTCCGACATATCATCAGCTCTGGTCCCATTTCCCTATATTTGTCTTGTAGTAAAGGCAAAACAACTAAGAAGAGCCAACTTAAAACCTACCGATAAATTTTTCCTTTAACAAGTCGTTCCAGGAAAAATCGACTTTGAATGGAAATTTGCATTTGTTCAAATGATGATCATGTTATTATTAATCCTTTAGTGTTAAAGGCTTGAATATCCTCAACAGCAAAACTTTAGGTACGATTCTTAAATTTAATATATAATTTTCTTTTCTAATTACAAACAAAATATTTTTTAGGAATAGTATAATATATATATATATTATATATATACATATATATATATTAATAATATAAATATGATTGTAATTAAATATAATTAATATATATATTATATTAATCATATTTATATTATTTTTTTTTATATATTTTCCACTTAGTTGTATATATTTTTTTTATATTTACATTTCAAATTATATATTCAAATATAGTAAATTATATAAGCCTCATTTAATCATAATTTTCATTATGACAAATTTAAATTAATATTTGAAATATATATTTTTTACATTTTCAACATAAATTATTTTAAATATTCAAATATTATATCCATATTTTTTAATTTATTCAGAAATAACTTATACACAATGACGTTTCTATCTTTATTTCACTTTTAACATAAATATAATTTTGTGAGAAAGTATTTATTCCGTAAATAAAATTATAAAAACCGTAAATATTGGCAAAATATAATAACAAAATGATTCCGGTTTATTGATATTTTCCTTGTATTATGATCTGAGGTTTCATTTTAGAAATTAAAGATCAAATTCACTTCTATATATTTTAGATTTTTATTAAAAACTTTTTTAATAGAGATCTTTAATTAGCCACTTTTTTGTACATATTGTGTTTCGTTGGTTTGCAGCAATAGTTTTATTAATGGCATATCTTTAATTTATTCGAAACGTACAATTTCAAAGTTTAAACTTTGATTGATAGTTTCATATTACTCTCTTTCTGTTTTAAATTAATACTATCACATATATACTTATTCAATATATTGTAGATTTATAGATTCAATATTGGTTAGCAAAAATGTAGCATAATTTGCAAAACATGCGCCTATCGCTATGATTATTTGCTTCGCTTCGAGTTCATGTCCCTTCATCCCGACATTCAACTTCTAGTTATCAATATTAACTCGTCTGTTGGGAGATAGAATGACGTCAACACACGAACCCGGTGTCCCGCATGGCAACTACCAACTAACCAAAGTGTGCTCAGGCAGGACGCAAGGACAGACGCCACGCATAGCGCACGCAATGTGTTCAGGAACACATCACACTATACATGGCAACATACATACACACACATATACACACATACACATTTGCCCAACTCGTGTATAGCCCTCGCGCTTGCTCCGAACTCTGGCACTTCTTCCACACCCCCCTCCTATTCGTGCCTTCGACGGCCCCTTTCCTCTCTTGTTCTTTTCTTTACACCTTTTGTGAACTTCCTCCTTTTTTCGAACGCGTTTTCTTTCAATCTTATTTCCGTTTGTTCATTCCACTTTTTTCTTTTTCCTTTCTTTGTACGATTCGCATTTTTTTGGCAAAATTTTTTTCTAATGTTACGTTATTTTAATTTTAAATTTTTTACTATAATAAGATCTATCTTTTTCAAAAAATTTTATGATTTTATATTTCCAGAATAGTAATTGAAACTGATCGTATTTATATGCTTCAATAATATTTTATCATTTATTATTTATTTTTTTTTTTATATCTCAATGTAAAATATTCTAATTTTAGAATTCTATCTTTTTGATACTTCTATTATTTTATTTTTCCAAAAAAGAGTTTGATTTAATTACAATAATTGAGTTGTTTTTTAATGTCATTTAAAGAATCAATTTTTTATTGACGATTACTAATTTATCTAATTATTTTATTTTACTATATTCTATTTAATTTATGTAAAAAAGTATAATTTAATAAACTTATTTTATTAATTTAATAGCTTGTTACTTATTAATTTTTTAATATTAAAAATTAATTTTTTTGCTATATATTTTTCTAAAATTTTTCTTTATATTATTTTTTTTAATTTTATTTTAATATTTCTTTTACATATATCTTTTTTTATATCAAAAGTATCAATTTTCCTTGTCAAATTTCTCTCTTATTCTCTTAATATTTTTATATGTATATACGTTTGCACACGCACGCATATAAACTTGTGTCCTCGATGTCACATAAGGCTTGTACTCAAGGGTACACTTCTAAACGGCTCACATCATAGCCGGGTGGAAAAAGACAAATAAAGCTCATGTTGTCTCG